TTTTTTTAACAAGGAGCTAGAGAGATGCTGCTGCTGAGTGGTTATACAATAGCCCAGCTGACGGATCCTTTCCCCGCAGCACCTGTCTAGCGTTCATTGCATATTTTTGGCACCAATGCCCTAGAAGTGATGTTGGGGCAGCGAGACTCTGCAAACAACGAAGCCATGCCGGATGTCAATGGGCTGGGTAGGAAGGATGGCTTACCCCCCACAGCTCACATACTGGACTAGCTTTATCTCAAGCTTAGACAGTTATTTCACAGCTTGGGCTTTAGTTTGTTTTTAAATCCTCTGGGGAAAAAAATCCCCAAATCCAAGTAGCTTTTGTGTTTAGTGCCAGTGACAGGTGCTGCCTGGCAGCCCTGGAGATGGGAGCTCACAGGATAGGCCTTTTCTAGGCTGCAGGACCTGCCTCTCCGCACTGCCCTGCCACCGTCCGCTGGGCTCTGCCTGCCCATGCAGCCTTGGCCATCATGAAGAAAATGCCTAGCAGGGTGGTCTTTCTGTGACACCCGCCCATTGTAAAAAGGACTCAGGGCATCCAAAAGCCATTGGAAAATAAAAATTGGCCACTACAAAAATAGATCCGAGACAGAAACCCATAAGCTCCGACTATTATTTTTAACATGGCTGCAGTCAAAATCATGGTAATAAAATAACTAACGCACAATCCATGAAGTACAAGGGAAAGTGAAGCTATCATTACATGGCTTGGGGTCACTGGATTGGGCTGTATTGACCAAATACTAAATGGCAAAGAGAAAGTATGTAGGGATTTATTATTTTCTCTCTCACACAATACAAGAATTAGGGGTCACAAAGTGAAGCTAGTAAGTAGCAACTTTAAGATGAACAAAAGGAAGTTCTTTTTTGCACAGCGTGCAATTCAAGCGTGGACCTCACTGCCGCCAGATGTGGTGGAAGCCGACAGCCCAGCCAGATTCAAAAAGGGACTGGACAAACTCTTGGAGGAAGCGTGTATGGGTAGTTCTTGAGCATGGGCGTTGGGGACACAGCCTTGAATTAGACCTTCCTAGATCTTAAATGCTAGAGGTTGCAGCAGAGAAACCGTGGGGGAAAATCCTGGCCAGCTGCAGTTCACTGTCCCTTTCAGCACCCACTCTCTACCCTGTGTAGCACAGGATACTGGGAAAGATGGACCTACGGTCTGATCCAGTAAGTGGCAGTTCTTATGCCATAGACCTAAGTGCACCTCTCTGAATCGCCCCATTTGACTTGGAACAGCCTGAACTTTGAGAACCAGCCACTAACACAACCAGTGCATTGGCTTTTTATACTGGAGCAGTCACTGGGATGTGGAAGTCATCTCCTCACTTTCACTCGGTGATTGGCTTCAGGGCATATCGGGATTAGATTCCTGCACTGTAAGATCAAAATCAATTCCCCTGCTAACACCTCCGTCTGCCAGCCTGTGACTCCTGTCAAGCCCTGCTGCATGTGGCTCATTCTCCCGGTGAAATAAGCTGCTTTGAGCACAGTCTCCACTTACCCACTAGCACAGTGATGACCTTATTGCTGGCGTACTGCTCTATTTCTCTCAGCCATTCTGGGAGACATCGGAAGGATTCTTCGCAGGTTATGTCATAGGTCAATATTAATGCATTCGCACTGCGATAGTAGCTCTGCGTAATGGACCGGAATCTCTCCTGTCCTGCCGTATCCCAGATCTGCAGCTTTGGGTACAACGCGGGGGGGGGAGAGAAGAGAAGGGAGGAGGAAAAACATTAAAACATCCCTTGCTTGGCAACAGCTCAGCTTTGACCTAAACGCCTTCAGGGTAAACCCAATGCTGGGAAAGCGCTTGGCTTCTATCCCCTTTGGCTCTCCCTCCCCTCGACAATTTTTTGTTTCTGTTTCTGCCCTTAAAGATTTAAATTCAAGGCACAAAGTCAGCTGGCATTCCAGCCAATTCCCCTTGGAAGCAGCTGGTCCGAAAGCTTTCTTGTGACTTTTAGTATTTCAGTCAGCAGTAGAAGAGGGAAGCCTTGCTCACTTGGGATTTGAAGGCCGGCATTGGAGGGAGAGCCTGAAAGGAGACATACTGCTCAAGTGTATTATACTGGCCTCTGATCAGCAGGTCAAGCTGATTTTTCTTTTTTTTAAATTAACTTTGATCCAATCTTGCAGTGAGTTCTGTGTGTAAATCACAGTCTGTGAGCCGAGTTCTTAAAACCGTACCCACTCGTCAATGGTCAGTGTGGTCTCCAGCCTCATTAACGTAACAGACAACTCGTTATTTAGAACAAGACTGGAAACGATCCACCTCAGCCACGTTTACATTGGGGAAATGAACCATCATATTCAAACTGGTTCTTATCTGCAGTTCAACGACACTGGCATTAAACTGGGGACAAAGCGTGCAAGTAAAACTAGCAGAACCATATTTACAGAGGTTGGTATTCCTGTGGAAACTCAAGTCTATGCAAGACAGCTGCATACGAGTCACTGCAGCTTTCAGCTAAACCCATGTTAAAACTAGTTTGAAGTTATTCCTCCAGCTGACACTATTCTTCCAAGGGGAAGTTTTACACCAAAATACCACCAAGCTCAAAAAACAAGGAAGTAGTGCAAATGCATCAACTCTCCATGGAGGGGACCATGTAACACACTTCTTCCAACATCTTCAACAAATTTCTTGACTCTACAGACAGTAGATGGTCTTCAAATTCCTCTAAACTCGTAAAATCGTCCCTAGCGTGGCTGCTTCATGACATAGTTGCGGATCATTTGTATACCTTACTTTCATAGATGTCATAGACATTAGGGCTGGAAGGGACCCCGGAGGATCATCAAGTCCAGCCCCCTGCCCCAGGGACAGGAAGTCAGCAGAGATCATAGGATCCCAGCAAGATAAGCATCCAAATGCATCTCGAAGGCGCTCAAAGCGGGTGCTTGAACCGCCTCTGGCGGCAGTCTGTTCCAAACCTTGGGGGCTCAGACAGTGAAGAAATTCTTCCTTAAGTCCAGCCTGAATCGGTTGCAGCTGAGTTTGTGACCATTTGATCTTGTCATCCCTTGGGGCGCTCTAGTGAACAGACGTTCCCCCAGATCCTGATGAGCACCCCTGATAAATTTATAGGTGGCCACCAGATCCCCCCTGAGCCTGCACTCTCAGCCTGTCATCGTAAGGTCTGTTTTCCTGACCTCTGATCATGCGCGTGGCTCTCCTCTGCACCCTCTCAAGCTCTCCTCTGCACATCCTTTTTGAATTGTGGAGCCCAAAACTGGACACAGTACTCCAGCTGCGGCCTCACCAAGGCCGAGTACAAGGGGAGAATGACGTCCCGGGATTTGCTTGAGAAGCATCTATGGATGCAAACCAGTGCTTTGGTCGCTTTACTAACCGCAGCATCACATGGCAGGCTCATGTTCATCTTGTGGTCAATCATGACCCTACTTAGGCTAAGGAAGTTTTTGTAACCCATGTTAAGTATGCTAATTAAAAAAAAAAAAAAATCAGCCAATGGTTTGTTAAAACGAAGCATCTAACATTTTAACTCAACAGGGAACTTCTTTATTTCACCTTTGTTTTTCCAAGCCCTTATCATTGCACCTAAACATCCGGATAGTTGAAATAGGGAGGCCAATACATTTTACAGACTTTTTTTCTGGTAGAAAGGTTAAAATAGGTTGGCTTTTTCTGTATGAGTGAACCCACTTTATAGGTTTGTAGCTCACTGGGGATATGGAAGTTAAACTGTTCATCACCTCATTATATGTAAATTATAGCAGATTTTGTGAGAGAAGAACATTGGTTAGCCCATTACTGGCTTTCAGAGATTAGTGTAAGAGTTTGATAAATCCAGTTTTGCAGGGGCAAAATTATATGTGGCCAGTTCACAGGCTGATTTGTTGGCACAATGTTGCTTACATAGTTAATGCTCTGAACTGCACCTGCCCTTAGTTAGCATGCAGAAATATGAGTGCAATTACCTGCAGATCCAAAACTGAGCAGGGTGAGTCACCTTTAAAACTCAGCCTTCATAGACAATAAATCAGCCTGGGGAAGGATCCAGGCTTTTTTGTTTGTTTCTGTGATATGATTTTTCCATCCCTTTTTGCTGACACCTCTTACCTGATAAGTATATGCTTTGTGTTTCTGTTGGACAGTATAGAGGCATTCTCTCTGAACGGAAAATGGCTTTTGGATGTGGTGATGTTCTGCTGCTCTAACGAGATGAAACTTGAAATTGGAAAGGATTGCTTCAGGACAAAAGGTCCTGTGATTTGATTTAGCTGCCATTCAACCCACAAGCTGGGTATTTAAACTAGAAAAAAGAGCCCTAAAACTTACGGCTATCGATAAAATCTTTCAGACAAAATGCATGCATCTGTTTTTATCACTGTTCAGCTTATCTCTGACAAAATAAGCTATTTAACCACCTCCATCTTTCCTTTTCTGATCCTCCCAGTACAGTCGAAGGATGTTGTCTGACTTAAATTGCAGACACCAAGTTATCTGGATGCTATTTCTTGGGGAAGTATCTTTAGTTTTCAGTGTCCACACGATTGCATACACATTCAGCTAGATGCTCACAAACTTTTTCACTGGGTTCAATAATACCACAGGCAGGTGAAGCACATCCTTAAACATTTGCAAGACTGAGGTTTACATTTACTTTCCAGGTGTTTAGCCACATAGCTTAAAAGGCTACAAAAAATCAAGCTAATTAACAATTCTATGTAGACAGAGTATGTGATTTGTATATTTTTGGTATTATTAAGAAAGAACAGGCAGGCCAGGAATTAGCCCTATATTGCACAGAAAGTTTCACATGCTGTAGTTAAAGAATATAAAGAAAATCCAACATTCCTTCTCTTGCTGGTCATACTAAAATCTCTCCTTGAACTCTTATAGCTATTCTTAGGACTGAGACAACTTGCAGAGAAATCTTGCATTAGCAAATCCATCTGCATAGACTTTGGAACGCAATCCTAAAACCTTGAAAGCCATTTTCCCCAGTCTAGCATTTCTATTTAACCCTAAAACCTACTCTGTAAATAGTGCTTCTCTCTAATCTTAGCCTATAACACTTGTGCAGGAGGAATCACTCTGGCGTGTAACTGGAGCACAGTTTGGTTGCTTTTAAAGGAGTCTATAGTCAGAGGAGTGCCTTGTCCAAGTGAGATGGCATTTTTACATCTCTCCCCTGTGTCTGAGTCATATCTGCTTTCCATGATAAAACACAAGCATATATTCCTCCTAGCACTGTCCAGCAAGCACAGCTCTGGAGAAGCAAACTGGATTCAACAGGCATGTGGAGGGAAAAAAAAAATCATTAACTAAATTCCGACTGCAAAATCTGTGTCATCGCTGCGGGTGCAGGAAGCCGAAAAAAATCCAGCTTGGCCTTCAGGTCCCAGATGGCATTTGCAGGATTATTTGCTAGATTTGCAGTGCCAGTTTTCCTCGCACATTCGGTTCACTGGTTAACTCTATTGACTTAATGGGAGTTGCTCCCAATTCATACCAGCACAAGAGGGAATCTTAGTTGTATCTTCCAGTCTTATGTGGAAATGGAGAAGATGAACATGGGAAGTCTTCCTTGCCAAGCATAAGCAGCGAGTAGTTCTCCTGAAATGCAACAGAACCCCAGCCGCGGTTGGTTCCCCAGCAGCCTCTCTCCCCCACTGACCCGTTCACTCTAACATTTTGGACACAGCTGAACCATTTGAAAACACTTGGGTTGTTCTCAGCCTGCAAGTCTCCTAAACTGCCTACTGATAGCACACTGCTACTTACAGCATCTCTCCTCCAGGCGTATTTGCACCCATGTGCCAAAGCCACATAAGCAAAAAATTGCATCAGTGTGATCAGTCCAGAGTGCAAAAGCTCCTAACACACTGCTCCCTTCCCAGCTCCAAAGCACTATGTGGAACATGAACACAATCTTCATATCACACTTGTTAAGGTGTTACCCCCCCCACCCACACCCCCCTTAAAAAATGGGGAGACTGACAAATGCGACAGTCCCTGGATTGAGGCCACAGAAGGGAGGAATCACCCAACCCAGATACGCTGGTTCCAAAGTCCATGCTCACGTTACATTTCCTTGCTACATGCATTTGACTGTTTAACAGAGAACCATCACTATATGCAGCAGTGCGTCAGCATCCAGCTGCAATCTGATGTGTGGAGGGACTCGAGAAGGAAGAGAAGACGCCTGCACCCATCACTTAGAAGAGGGATATAGGAAACTCCCATACAAGAGAGAGCGGACCCAATATAAACTGTCGCTTAAAGTCAGGCTCCTAAATCCATAAGCCACCAGATTTTGCTGAGAGCTGAGCAGCCAGCCCTTCTCTTAAATCCAGGCCGTAAGCCAGGAGTCTTGGTATGGCTTAAGGAGCTGAACCTTAAGTGCCCACTGCAGAAAATCCTGGCCTGAAATGTTTCTTGCATATTTAGGGGGAAATTAAAGCAGAAAGAAAAGTTCTCTCCATGAGGATTTCAAATGTCTGCTCTCAGAAGTATCTTGCTGTAAATGTTACTTACCCTCCCAATGTAGACCAGACAAAGAAGTGAAAGTGGCATGAGTAAGAGCTGCCCAGACCCCTTCCCCAAGTGCACCAACTGATTTTCTCATCTTCTTTCAGTTCTTTTTCCATTTACCCTGTAGAAGCAAATAGCCTTTCCAGCCCCACTGAGGGTGAGTACTCTCTCTGTCTAACAAAGAATTAGCACATCAGTGAAGATCCCAGAACACTTCGCAAACTCCATGCACATGTTGCAGCGCTGATGACCTGCCATCACCTCTATGTTGAAGGGAGCAACACATACAAGCCACTTTGCCAGAGTGGGAGGGGGAGAAGCCACATGCAACTCCCCATCTTCTAAGAGCTATGAGAACTGTAATCCCTCGACAGAGCAGCCCTCAGGCCAAATTGTTCAAACTAAGAGAATTGGGAGGATCGTCTTGTGGCTGGTTCGCTGGGTCAGAACTCCAGACCTCCAATCCCAGCTCCGCTGTACACGGGGTTTGAGACCTTGGGCAAAGTCGCTTAACTTTTTTGTGATTCAGTTTATAAAACAGGGATGAATGATGAGCCCTCTGCTTAGACGGTTTTGCTTTTGGGGGCAAAAAAACATTCTCTTACTATACAAAGACTGTTAGAGTTAAAAATACCCCATATCTCAACATTTGGAGAATACATCTTCATTTAGGCAAACTGCAGCCTGATTCTATCCGAAAAGCTGGGCCCTTCTCCCCATAGCTAGGGGGACTATAAGGGAACAGGGAACCCTAACTATAGGTTTTCCAGCACTTTTGATAGAAAACTGCACCGATTTTTATTTAACTAAACAGACGTCAGTGCCTAACTTGCAATGCCAAAGCACCCAGCCAGTCACTGAAGGCCAGATCTTGAATTTCCACCCTGAATACCCACTAAAAGTGCTGAAGAGAGAAAAGCAAAATAAAATGTAATCAATTTCCCCATGTGAGCTTATATCCATATGGAAGGAACTGCAACTCTGTCAAAAAATCAGGGAACATCTGAAATCTGCTCAACATCAGAGGCATATATAATCCCACTTCCCACTGGCTACATCACAGGAAGGTCCCCTGGTTTCTCAGGCTGACCAGCTCAGAAGAGACTGGGAGTGCTCCCAGGGATGCTTCCATCCTGCACAACTCCACCAGCCTCAGTCTCTACCCCTGCTTTAGGAGGATAGCAGGAAAGCTTCTAGGAACACAGTGGTGGACTGGGAGAAGAGTGTCACCGCCCTGGTTAACCGAAATTCAGCAAAGGGAGGCTGCACTGAAATAAATCTATGCGCTTCCATAGCACCTACTACATTTTGCAAAACCCCTTCGGAAAGCATATGGAGTACTATCATTCCTGTGTATGCACCAGTGTGGGGATGCAGTCAGGAAGGCCAACCGCACCTTGTCATGCATCCACAGATGCATCTCAAGCAGGTCCAAGGAGGTGATCCTCCCCCTCTATGCGACACTGGTCAGGCCGCAGCTGGAGTACTGCGTCCAGTTCTGGGCGCCGCACTTCAAGAGGGATGTGGACAACATGGAGAGGGTCCAGAGGAGGCCACTCGCATGAACAGGGGACAGCAGGGCAGGCCCTACAAGGAGAGGCTATGGGACCTGAACCTGTTCAGCCTCCACAAGAGAAGGCTGAGGGGGGATCTTGTGGCCTGTTATAAACTGGTTAGGGGGGATCAGCAGGCGCTGGGG